CCCCAAAACCCCAAAACCCCAAAACCCCATTTGTTAAATAATTTATTGAAATAATGTTAAATGTTGCACCCAGAAGACAGATTAAGAAGGCTTCTAGCTCTATAGGCATCAAGGCAAAGAAACTTGCCAGCCTCAAAAGCCAAAATAGTAAGAATTATCTGATATGGTCAAGTTAATCCAAAAGGAATCTTTGGATTTTAATCTCTTTGTTCTAACTTGTTCTAGGTGAAAAAGTTATAAAGCATGCGATGCATGCAACTCCATCCCCCATTGATTTCTCACAGAGTACCATTTCTGAAGAATCTAAGTGTTACCTTGATTTTGAAGACCAAGATGAGAAAGCAAGAGAGATAATCTTCATGCAAATATTCACGATTCTTCAGCTTTCTCCAAACAAGAGACGCAAAAAGCAGTTGCTCGAGCTCAAAGAGTACTTCAAAAACCTTGATTTCTTCAAATAAGCTAGCAAAGCCGGATGACGATGACATTTCCTTCGAACTTGCACGCTACAGATACTTGCAGGCTTTCAATATGTCCCAGGGCCAGAAAGTCTTCAATTATGGTGATGAAGGCACCTGGTTTTATATCATAATAAAAGGGTCTGTTGGCATCAAAGTTCCATCCATCGTGACCAAAAAGATGACACAGAAGGATTTAGCTACATTCATGGATAAAAACAAGGAAGATATTCTCTTCAAGCAATGCAAGCATGACTTGCCAATTAAGAGCTTGAAGAATGGAGTTCCTCCTAATTTCCTCCTTGATGGTACCTTCAGGCTCAATCTTTATAGATCAGGAAATCAGAACCTATGAAGTCTGAATCCTTAAGGAAGTAGCCGAGCTCAAGGACGGAATGAGCTTCGGAGAGATCGCCCTGATGCAAAATCAGCCTCGATCTGCTACGGTTTATTGTAAATCCCAGAATGCGTACTTTGCCGTTCTTGATCGGAAAGATTTTCAAAAGACCTATAGCACCACACAGAAAATACTAACTAAGCATAAGATGGATCTTATGAACCATTTTGGAATATTTTCTCACTTTGGTTTCAAGATGCTCAGGAAACTCAGGTACTTCAAACAAGTCTAACCATAGCTTCTACCTCTTTGAGAGGAAATATTGAATGAACCAGAACATCTACAGCGAAAATGAGTTCCCTGATGGAGTCTATCTCATTGAAAACGGAGAGTTTGAGCTGTCCAAAAACGTCAGCGATAACAACATTCTTAGAAAGTTTCGAGTGTCCCGACTAGGTCAAAACCAAATTTTCGGGTTACACGAATGAATCAATCTAACGACTCGTACGATGAACGCGACTTGTATCTCCCCGACAGGGACGGTATATTGTATTCCCTCTAAAGGTAAGCTGCTTCTTGAGACTACTAGATTTTGTTCAAAAGTTTCTTCCCAAAATCCCAGATGAAATAGTAGAGGCTGAACTTATTTAAGATCAAGGACTTTCTCCAACTGAGGTACAAATCTCTGGTCACCCTCGAAAAATGTTCAGATCTCATCAAAATGGATGAGATTATTCGTAAATACCATAACAAACGCACCCAGAGTCATAAGAAAAGGTAACAAATTTGGCATAAATTTACTCTAGAAAGCTAAACAAAGCCGAAGTTTCTCAAAAGCCGGCTGGTTCCAAAGCTAAGCGCAAGATTTTAGCCTTTGAGAGAAAGGTCTACAACACCTCTGCTAACGAACGTTGTGCTTCTTACTTTCAAAGAAATTATCAACGGAAAGATTTGTCTACAAAAAATTCTAAAGAGACATTCAATAAGAATGATTTAAGTGTCTGCTTATCTTCTCCAAAAATGGCAACTAAAGACTCAGTTCGAGAATCTCTTGGTGAGAAAGTAGGAACTTTTTGACTAATCTATAGTTAAGAAGGGAGCTGGCCGCCAGCAAGCAAGATGATTGTACTGCTTCCAAAAACAACCTAATGCAACAGGGAGCTCTTCTCAAGAAATCACTAAAGAAGGAGACTCAAGAGGCCAAATCCAATCGTTTCAAGGTAAAAGTAGTAAACAAGTTGAGACAGTCTCGAAAAGTCTCCCTTCAGAAGAGTAAGTGGCCCTCTTCATATGTAGAAATTATGGGAATTCAGCAAAAGATTGGCAAAAAGAGAAACTTCTACATCACACTTCCTAAATAAGAAGACAAAAACCAATGTAAGCCACTTTTAATGTGAATTCTATAGAAAATAATAGGAATGAACATCAAAAAGATCGATATTAAGCCAGATATCCAGAAGACAGAGAAATAGCATGCAGACTACGGACTTCAAGTTCAACAAGATCAAGGTTCTTAATAAAAATCTGCGACAACTCAAGAGTAAGCATGGATGATGATCTTGTAGCCCCTTCCAAGAAATCAGACAAGCTGTCTTGACCCCCTCAGTTTATCCCAACTACAAATGTGTTTAAATCTATCGATGGCAAGAACAAATATGCGAAGACCTTGTATAAAGTTAATAGCCTTGAGCAATACCAGAAGCATGTCCCAGAGAAGCTAAATAGGAAGGAAATCCATGTACGTAGAAGATTATTTATAGTTTAGGTCACCTGAATCAACACTCTTGATGTAGTAGCCCAACAGAATTGTAGCTTCCTCAATTCTGATGAGCTTATATGAGACATGAAGAGGTCGAATAAAACCTGAAATTCCACCCAGAATTTACCTGGGAAGAGTCTGCCAACATTAAACTCGTTTTACTTTGGTAGGCTGAGTTATGAACCTTTATAGCAAATATTAAAGTGCCATTATCACTACATAAAGATTTCTCAGATCCATCTTTGACACTGCCTTCTTACAAAGAGATTCAAAAGTTCTTGAGCCAAGAGACCATCTTTGATGAAGTTTAGAGTCTAAGGAAGGAGGTTAAATACGTATATATCATCCTCAGGAGCATTCCCTAGCAGATTCTGGACCTGATATAATACTCTGGGCTCTAAAGAATTAGATCAATCTACTATAAAGCCTCAATTCTGACTGCATTCAGAGGGGTTTTGGGGTTTTGGGGTTTTGGGG